ACACACTCAGTGAGCCCTTGGGTTGCGGGGTCAATCGCAGCCCAAACCCCGGGTCGGCAGGTGCGGCGCTCGCGTTGCATCGGCCTCCTGGGTGGGGAAAGCGCGTGCTCGCGTCCCGCTCGCAAAAAGGAATCGGGTTCCACCCGTGCCCGGGCTGCGAGCGGCGACGAGAGAGATGGCGGGCTCTCGCGTTCCTCCTAGGAGGAGGCGAGCGTCCAGAGCACGCTCGAGGGCACGGAAGGATGACGACCGGCGTTCAGCCGGCTGCCGGATCTCCGTGCCCGTGGCCTTGTCGGAGGATCCGTCGGAACAATGCAGGAACCCCACCTCAGGCCGTGCCCCGCGAGCGCGTCGGTCGTTTTGGCGAGCGATCGGCGAGCTGGCGTGGTGCGGTGGCTCGAAAAAAGTCCGAGCACCGATGGATCCGTTGTGGTGCTGAACGGAAAGCGCACCCCGACAGGCATGGGGCACCGCCCTGGTTGATCCCAGACCTCGGCAAACGCCCCTAAGAACGAGTGACGAAACGACCGCCCTCGGGTCCTCCGGGTTGCTCGCAACTCGGGGGGACCGGGCGAACCTCCTCTCGCAGGAGGTCAGGTTGCCGTCCCCTCTCACGCAGCGAGCTTATTAGGGCCGCCACCCGAAAGGCTAGCCGCGATCGGGAGCGAGGCAAGACGCGGACACGGTCGGCCTGGGCGGAGGGGTGGCACCCGAAGCTCTTTCCTTCCAGTTCGTGACGAGCCTCGACACCAGGGAATGCAGCAACCCGGCGGCACCGGGCGTCCATGCGGACAAAAAAAAAACTCCCCAGCCCTGATGGAAACAGCTCGGGCCTACCAAGCGCAAGCGAGGGAAGCCCGGGGCCTGACCTCGAGTATCCTCTGAACACCTTTCCTTCCGACGCTCCTCCTCCCAATCCAGCGTCCCCCGCCACCGGTGCTCGGTCTCTCTTGGCATCGGCGGTGTGACTGCGGGGTCTTGCTCGCCCGGCCTTCTGAATTCCTCTAGGAAGGCTCGGGAAGGGGCGCCCGCGGTGATGGCAAAGGGACCCTTTTGCTACCCCCAACCGTCCCGCTCGCAGTGCATCAAGGAGCTGCGGGCAGAGGCGGAATACAAACCTCTCCGCAACCGGAACTGGCCGTCCGGTCGCAAAAAACCCTCCCTTGAGCGGGGCGCCCACGGGCCCCGGCACCTAATAAAAACTGGGACCCCACTCCTGACGATGGATATCTTGGAACCTGGCTCGATGAAGAACGCAGCGAAATGCGATACGTAATGCGAATTGCAAAACTCCGTGAATCATCGAAACTTTGAACGCATGTTGCGCCCGAGGCCTCGGCCGAGGGCACGTCTGCTTGAACGCCACACACATCCAGGTGGAACCTCGCATCCGAACCCACCCCTCCGCACGCAGCTAAGTGCGGCAGGGGAAACGGGACGGGAAAGCAATGCGGGGCAGACAAGGGGCGCTCGGGTTGGTGTGGGCTCCGGCCCCCCCCTTTCTCCGAGACAATCGCTCGTACCTGGGAAAACGAGATGGCCGTCGCAACCCGTGCGCTCCGGGGCACAAATGGGGGGCAGTCGGTTGAAATCGCAGGGCCGCATTAGCCCGTCTCCGCTCCTCTCGACCCCAGTGCAGATCCCCGGGCGCCACCCGGGAGGACGCGAGTGGGACGAGCGAGATGAGGCGGGCGGCGACCCCGCTGGGCTCGGCGAACCCAGCCGGCCAACGGACTCCGTCCGGACCTCCCAGCAGGTGGGGGGGCCGGTCACTCGGTCCCTCTTTCTCTCCCGAGACGGTCGCGAAAAGGTTCGGGAGCCGGGGGCGTGGCAACCCCCGGTCTCCCCCTCCAAAGTAGCGCACAAGAACGGGCGAGAGGCGGACGGGGCTCGTACAAAAATGGTCGGACGGGGAGGAACCGGGCAAACCCCAAACGATGGCTTCAAGTCAGGCGAGACCACCCGCTGAATTTAAGCATATTACTAAGCGGAGGAAAAGAAAACAACCGTGATTCCTTTGGTAGCGGCGAGCGACCAAGGAAAAGCCCAGGCTTGAAATCCGAGGGCCCCCGGCCCTCCGAATTGTAGTCTGAAAAGGAAGCGTTCTCTGTGACGGGCGCCGCCTTAAGTCCACTGGAAAGTGGCGGCAGAGAGGGTGACACCCCCGTCGGGCGACGACCCGTCACTCCACGAGACGCATCCGAAGAGTCGGGTTGCTTGGGAGTGCAGCCCCAACATGGGTGGTAAGCTCCATCCAAGGCTAAATACGGCCAGGTTTCCGATAGCGAACAAGTACCGCGAGGGAAAGATGAAAAGAACTTTGGAAAGAGAGTAAAAAGTGCTTGAAATCGTCAGGAGGATAAGCGCATGAGCCCAAGCAAACCTGCGGGCCCCGTTCGCGCGGGGCCCGGAGGTACGCAGCGCCGGTCGATGCCGCGGGAAAAGGAGCTCGCTCCCACCGCGGCGGAGACCGAGGATGACCCTCACGGGTCGGCGCTGG